CAAGCTCACATGCCCTAGGTTTGTTGAAAGTAAACCCTAAAAAGCAATTTATCAGCATTTCATTGTTTGCCATTCGTCTTCAATTAAGAAGGAAGCATCTATCACAAACTAGAAATCATATACAGTATGTAACTGTATGCCCCTTTTAGGGCCTATCTATATTCCTTAGTCTCTCCTCCTGGTAGTGGAGACCACATGGGTTTGCATGGTGCAGGGCCCAGGTTTATTGTGGTATGGAAAAGCTGCAGAGATTTTTAATCACTAGAGGCTATGTGTGTAAAAAATTGCAGATCATCTTCCTTGCCTAACTGTTAGCTAAACTCAGATACATCATTCTGTCCTTCCATTGTCTGCACTTAAATGCTGTGGTTGCCATTTCTTGGTTTATATATACCTGTTTTGTATCTTCTGTTTTTCTTCTTCATGGGTGTAGGGACGTGATTATCACCCTCTGGCCCATGGGACAAATCCAGCTCATAGACCTGTGTCATGCAGCCTGCGAGACTCCCCATGGGTCCTGAAACTTGGTAGCAGGGACTCTATAGCAGCATTAGTTAACATGGGACCCATGAGGCCCCATGGTTCAGATCATATGGCCTTGTGTACTAGATCAGGCCAGCGCATGGAGTCACTTTGCATCCAGATCTGGTGCACAGTGTTAAGCCTACAGACCCACCCCCTTCACCCTCCACATTACTTGTCTGTCACACTCAAGCTGGGCTCTGCCAGCTTTGCCTAGCAACAGATGCTGCCAAGCCCTCTCCTTGCAATCTGGGAAAGCCCCTGTTTGGCCAGGGGCCATGCAGCAAACCATGTGCTGGGGAAACCCCATCCCCTGGGGAAAAGCCCACGAACATTCTGGTGGGAAAAATCGACCAATCGGGGGTCTGAAGTGAGGCTTGTCATCTGGCCTATAAAGACTGGGGCGGAATTTTCCACCCGGCAGAGCAGAGAGGACAGCAGAGCAGCGCGCAGACACCAAAGCATCCATCGCTCTCTCAGCTAGCTGACCAGAAGCCGGAGCTTGCACCGCTGGGTGGCTAGGCCTGGCCAGCTTCCCACGGCTTCTCCGATTTCTGAAGTAACTATTTGCCGATCGGTTCAATTTAATCTTGAAAGGTCCACCGACTTTTTGTTTTCGCCCTTCACCCAAAACTGAGATTCGATTTTTTTTTCATCCCTCTCCTGAACCAGGGCGGATTGATTTGCTTTAATCGTTTTCGGATCCCTCGATTGTCTGTCATTCGTTCGTCCGTTCCCCGAGCCAGGACAGGACGCGCAGCCACATTCAACATCGGGTGGTGTGTAAATAAGTGGATCCCTGATTCTCTTTGTTTTCGTTATAGCCGTCCCTCATTAGGGCTGGGACTGAACCAAGTGTAACTGCCTGCGCAGCCACATCTACATCAGTGGAGTGCATGTAAAAAAGACTAAATAAAAGAAAATATCTTGGAACCGCTGCGAGTCCGCCTCTCGCTAACTTAACATCAGGGGATAGAACCCACTGGGGCAACAGCCACAACGCGGCTCGCACCCCGCACATTGTCCAGCCTGCAAAGCCACAAGATTAGGCACCACTAGTATAGGATACTGTACTGACTGAACCTCCCTTCATTGTCTGCACCCCTGCAGTTCAAATCTCTCAAGTTTCTTTGCAATTTGGTCCTGCTTATTGACACAGAACTAGTAATTGAGGTACACCAGAGAAGAGTGTCATCCTGTGTATTCTCAACTCCTTCAGTTCTCAGCAGTTTGCAAATGTGGCTGTGGCTGGACTTAGAAGCGAAATGCTTAGGCCAGAATTGAAGCGGCTTGTGTCTAGAAGAATATGCATGATTCTTTAGCATGTGTAGGAAAAACAGGTAGAGGCTCTCTTTAGTTAAAGTGTCTAGCTTTTGGATTATCTAGATCAAATTTGAAACTGCAGGCTGCAGGAGCAGGAAGCATCACTTTTTATCACATTGAGTATTAAATTCCTTGCACTTTTGGAAATAGTGTAAACACATCTGTTGTGTAACATCCAAGGTCATTTTAATACCAGACCACTAAATACAAATACAGTTTTAAACTCTGTAAATTCCAGAGTTAGCGAGCCATAGACACACGAATAAACAAAAAATGAGTCCACTAATAGTCTGGGAATGTCTTGAGTGCATCATTTAGTGTAATTAAATATATCTGTGCTTTTAAAATTAAGCTTCACTAATTCTAATAGCATGCCCTTAAGTATATTACCCTGGATATGTTAGGATAGAGGCTGTGTAGGTATTAATTAGTGCAGTGCCTGCCAACATTTTGATAAATATATTCTATGGTTTGCAATGTTAGAAAGAAAACTTCATCCATGTAAAATAGATTGTTTTGGTCAGAATATACTCTTCAGTACATGAAAATGTGTGTAATTTTTCTTTTTTTTTTTTTTTTTTTTTTTA